GCAACATGTAGAGACAGGCAGAAGAGACAGACTCCGTGAAGCACCCACAGAAGGTGACCAAGGAAGCAGCTGGTGCTGCTGCTGCCTTGCCTCTGACAGCTTCAGGTCTTGCCCACCCTTATCATACCAATTTGATTGAGGACACTTAATCAAATGTTTTATTTTTCTAATAACTGTTGCCAATAGTCTGCTATCAAACCCTCCTACACTGTTAGGTAATGAGGGACGTTCATCAAAGCTCAGTCCGATTTCATAATTTGCAAATCACTTATAGACCTATTATGACCCAGTTTTATCTAGTCTCATGTTTTCTAATAGCTTTTGAAATACAACTATCCCACACAATTCACCCATTTAAAGCATGTTTTGCAATGGGTTTTAGTGTGTGCCCAGAGTTGTGCAAACAACACTGCATTAATTCTAAAACATTTTCATTATCCTCACATGAAATCTCATAGCCTCTGGTAGTCATTCCCCTACTGCCTCTCAATTCTCCCAGTCTTAAGCAATTATTAATTATTTTCTGTCTCTATGAATTTACCTGTTCTGGATATTTCATACAAATGGAATCATACAATACATGGTTTTTTGTGACTGGCTTTGTTTGCACAGCATAACGTTTTCAAGGTTCATCTGCATCGTATCATGTATCAGAACTGCATTCCTTTCTAAGGCTAAATTATATCCCACAGCATGGACACACTACACTTTATTTGCCCATTCATCAGTTTGTGGACATTTGGGTTGTTTCCACTTTGGGGTTATTATGAACAATGCTGTTATGAACACTCACATAGATAGTTTTTGTAGACCAAATGTACAACACTCTGTAGACAGACAAATGTTTTCATTTTTCTACCTAGGAGTAGAATATTAGGTCACACTGTAACTCTATGTTTAACATTTTGAGGAACTGCAGTCTCAATTAAAATATCAACCCCATATCATTTTCAAATCTCTCTCTTTCACCCAGAACAGGCTAAACTTGTGGTCCTGCCACCTTGGAGTCAGGTCTCAGTCTGGTTCAGTCTAATGGTAGTGGCCTCTGATGAGAGTCAGGCCTCCAGTACCTCTTGCTTTCCTCCCTTCTGGAAGCCACAATAATGGGTCTTTGGTGATCTCTGAGGGCTCAGAGTTCTGGGATGAAGGGTGCCCCCATTAATTCATTCCTAAAAACAACCCTATAGCCCTTCATACTTCCAGGCATAAGACATCCAGTGACCCACCCACCTTCAGAAACTTCAAGCAAGCAGCAAGTGTTAATCTCTACATAAGGCACTCTCAAACTTTCAGGATGTATATCCCGCACCCCCTTCCTGTCCCCAAGAGTGAGAGGGGAAGAGGCCAGTACACATCCCTTCTAGTCCTTCAGAACCTTCTCCCTGCCTCTCAAATCCCCCTCTTCTACTTTTCGTTGTTAAAGGCCAGTGGACCAATTCAATCTCCCTTCTCTACCCTCATTTTCTGCTCCCACCTCTGCACCCGAGAGACTCCCTTAAATTTTTTCTTGCCCTATTAACAAAATTATTTCTTTTTCCTACTCCCTCCAAGATTTTGTCCATATGTACCGGCTTATTATTTTTAACTGACACATCATAATTGTACATATTTATGAGGAACAAATACCACAGTATTTGTTCCCTGCAGTATTTTTTGCTTAGTCATGCATAGCTCTTCTTTTTCCTTTCTTATTCTTATTTTAAATTGATGAATAATAATTATATGTATTCATGGAGTACAGTGTGATACTTCAATACATGTGTATAATGTGTAGTGATCAAATGAGGGTCATTAGCATATCTATCACCTCAAACATTTATTATTTCTTTGTGTTGAAAGCATTTAAAAATCTCTTCTAGCTATTTGAAAATACAGCATGAATTATTGTTAATTATAGTCACCTTCCAGTGCTGTAGAGACCTTTTTCTCAGTAGGGAGGTCTTCACTATTCAGAAGGATGGCATGGGGACAGAAAACTGAGGCAGGAAACTGTACCCAATCAATGACACTTCAACCAGTTACACTTACAATAAACCTTCTATTTTTGAAAAGTTCTCAGTGAATGAGCCAGGCCTAGACCTGCATCCTTCTGAGAACAAACAAGGTCTGGCCACAGCATCAATCTTCACCTTTCCTTCCCTCAACCTGAAACCAGTTCTTCCTTGGCAGGCAGGCTCAGGTGGGATTCTAAGCCACGTATGTGACTTGAAGGATGATGACCAGTGACCGACCTCCAGTCCCTGGGCTGACTGTGACACAAGGGAGGCTGGACCCATGTGAACTCCTCCCTGCTCTTCTCTCTGCCCCCAGCTGCCTGTGACCATCTCCCCACCCACGAGTCCCCTGTTCCCATTGTCAAGAGAAGAGGCTAGCCTCCACTCCCTCTCATCTCACTCCAGATAGACTCGCACCAAACCTTGGTTCCTGACTTTGAAAATGTTGCTAAGGCTGGTTCTACATAACTGCTGGCTCCTCACAGTTTTCACCCCTTCCTCAGCTCTTGCTCTTTGCTCATTTCCCCCAAATTCAGGTGTATTCCACTGTCATCCCCAGGCTGTATGCCGCCCCCCCAAGAGAAAGAGAGATTGAACTTTTTTTTCTGGACCTGACATAGTTAACATTGGTTTGGCACCTGCAATGTGACAAACACTGTTCTGGGTACTTTACACGAACATTTATATCACATTGCATCACGTCACATTACATCACATACATACACTGCATTGCATTACATTTGCATTACACTGCATGGGGGGGGACTGTTTTTGGAAGAAGGGACAGAAGTAGTTGTAGCATTTCTTCCCCCATTTGCCCTGCACTCACAGGGTGAGCTTGGGTAACCTCTGTAATCTCTTCCTCTATTACAAAGTAGAAGGGGCCTCACAGACTAGTTGTATACACTGGTGAGATCATTATGCTTGCTATCATGCAATATTTTATGACCTAAATTTAATTTTCCATTACCAAGTTTCAATGCTATGTTGAGGGGTCTGATTCTACTACACACACACACACATACACACACACACATACACACACACAATTTAGCCATGCCTCTCAGGGATCTTCTATTACATAGGGAACAAAGGTAAAGTGAATAAATTAGAAACACACATAGTCCTTTGCTAAATTCTTAAATTGTTGTCTTGCTGTTATTGTTTAGCAACCTAACCATACTCTCCATTACTGCTTTTTAAAAAATCATCACTGCCTTTATAAAAATAATCTGTGTTTATGGCAGGCTATTTAGAAATAAAGTGTCAGCAAAAAAAGGAAGGAAGAGGAGGAGAAGAAGAAAACTAAAAATTATCTACAAGCCTTGCACCCAGAAATGCCCTCATTAACACTTTGGTATGTTCCCTGCAGTATTTTTTCATAGGCTCATAGATTTATGAGGCAGGCTCATTTGCTAAGATATTAGTTTGAATTTTATTTAGCCCTTTTGTAGAAACTCCTGGGCCTTCCCTTGCTCTGAGATGGGAGAAACAGAGCTGAGCTGCCCAAAAGAAAGAGTGGAGAGGAGAGGTGGGCCTAGACTAGAGGAAGTTTCCCAGACAGAGGATGAAGAGGGCAGCTCACTGCTAAAGAGGGATGGGCACTCTCAGCAGGTAGTATGTGGCGTCCATAGATGCCAAACTATCAGAGCCATGGAGGGGACATATTCCATCCCTCAGCCCCTCACTACAGCCAGGAAGGCAGGGTCAGGTGAGGATGTGGCACCTTCTACAGAAACCACAAGCCTGGAGCCATGGACAGAGAAGCAGGGGCCCAAAGGAAGGACAGCTCCCAAAGACATGACCCCCATTCTTGTGGTCTAGGTAGCCACTCCCATTTGTAGCTGTTCCAAAACTTCTTTCTTGTTTAAAGGATGGAGTAAAAAGAGGATACAGAACAAGAGGAGGAAAGGAGAGCCCTGGTTTTATAGAAGAAAAACAAGGAGGCAAGGGAGGCTTAGAGGGGAGCCAAAGAGGAAGGACAAGAAAACATAGAGAAATGTAACTAAGAAAACCTACTCTGAGCATTGAAACCCCATCTCTGCTGAGATCACCCAAGGAAAATGGGGGCGATGGGGCCGGAAGGGGATTGGTCATATAGACCTGCACTTAATTTGGCCTTTCCTTGTCACCTGGTTTTAGTTTCACCACAAAACTTGCACTAAGGGCACTAAGACCTGAGCTCAAATTCAGCTGTGCAACTAAGAAAATGCTGCTTGGTCTCTGCTCTGTGTTCCCACATATACAATGAGTGTAACAGTATCTAGACCACAAGTTGTTTTGAGAAGGAAATGAGGCTGACTAGTGTTCCCCCCAAAATCATGTCTACTTGGGAATGCAACCTGGTTTGGAAATGACGTCTTTGCAGATGCACCTGGTTTAGATGAGGTCATTCTGGATTAGGGTGGGCACTCATCTAAAGGCAGTGTCCTTATAAGAAGAGGAGAGGACCTACAGAGATATGCACAGAGAAGAATGCCACGTGAAGATGGAAGCAGAGACCAAGTGATGCAGCTACAGACCAAGGAGCAGGAGCCACTGGAAGATGAAGCTGGGAAGAGGCAGGGAAACCTTCTTGCGCTGGAGCCTTCAGAAGGGGGCATAGTCCTGTGATTTCAGACTCAGCTTACTGAACTACAGAATAAGCATCTGTTATGGTTGCCCTGGGAATCTGGAAAAGTTGTCCGTGTGAAGTTCCTGGCACATAGCTAGGACATGCTGGTTTCTTTCCCTCTCTTACTCCTAGATGTGCACTCCCTTCCCTGGAGACACCGCTCAAGGGATCCCTGCACACAGAGAGTAGAAATAATGCTGAAAGTAAAACCAAAACTTCCCAATAGACTCTGCTTCCGTCAGTTCCTCAGACCTAGTTCTGGTTTGAATTATTCTAATGCTATGGCAAAGCTTGAGCTTCAGGGATACGGCCACACCTTTTTTTCTCTTCCTTAATATATCTCAGCCCCAATTCTGGCTGCTTTTCTGTTAGCACCCATCTTCTAATGTCCCGAGTAGAAGGAATCCTGGGTTGGAGGTACTGCTGGATGATTTTGGTTTTGCTGACTGTTTGCTTTGTTGGCTTCTGTAAGGGAATCTGACACAAGAGTTTGTTGCTTTGTTTTTGTTTTGGGTTTGTTTTTTTCCCCTCATCTTTGCCTGAGGAGCTGTGCCAAGTCCTCATGTGAGTATCCAGTGGGTTGAGACTGTCTCTTACTTTGTGAGTTTATATTGTAAACCATGATGAGGCTGCCATGGTGGGGGAAATGCATACCGTCTCTCCACCTCATATGAAGCAGGAGAAATTTTGCCTCAGAAAGTATACTTAAGGGCACAAATTTCCTCCTATGCAAAACTAGTAGGATTTCTCTCACTTGTTTTTATGCTTCTTACTCTTTTTTCCTCCTATGCTTATTATTCTTACTGGGCAGTCTTAGGAGGTGAGATATTTTCTTTACCACATATGTACACTGTAGACAAAGTTAACTATTCTTGAGATTGCCTCTCAGCTTAGAGTTTTTGGAAGGGTAATGGTTAAGAATTTAAAACCCTGCTTTCCTACAACTGACATCTGTTGCAGATTATGCCCTTGGCAGGCAGTCAACACGCCACCCTCGCCTGTGTTAATGTTATGCTCTAAGAGTAAGCTATTCGGGGGAAACTATCATTTTGTTAATTTATTGAGGTACCATTATTTAACAAAAGCCTGATTTGGGGCTCGGCGCCTATAGCTCAGCCGGCTAAGGCGCCAGCCATGTACACCTAAGGTGGCGGGTTCGAAGCCCCAGCCCGGACCCACCAAAACAACAATGACGGCTGCAACCAAAAAATGGCCAGTCATTGTGGCGGGCGCCTGTGGTCCCAGCTACTTGGGAGGCGGAGGCAGGAGACTCACTTGAGCCCAGGAGTTGGAGGTTGCTGTGAGCTGTAATGCCACGGCACTCTACCCAGGGGGACAGCTTGAGGCTCTATCTCAAAAAAAAAAAAAAAAAAAAAGCCTGATTTGGGGCCTACAAAAAGGTTTGTTTTTCCATATACAATAAGTAGAGAAAAGGTAGCAAAATTAAAGAAAACTGCAATTATTGCTATCGATTGCTCACCACCCGGGAACACAAAGAGGAGAGAGAGCAATGGATTCATGTGGACAAGTAAAGCTTCAGTAAGATCAGCAATAATCAAGACTTCTAGCGCTGAAATTCTATGGCTCTGTAGGGAATGATAGACACAGACTGACAAAAACACAAAGTAAAAATATTCAATGTGTGCAATAATCTGATAGTCGTAGCTTGAGTCAAATACTGATAGTCTTAAATGTCCTCTAAGCCCTTTGCCAGCCCGAGTCCATGAGCAGGTGGACAGTATTGCTCTTGCTGCTCTTGTCATGGGTGCCTGGTCTATTCTCCTTCATTGCCTGAGCTCTCACTGTCAGCCAGTCTTCCTAGTCTACTGCATCAAGACACCTTCTGCTCAAATTTCTCCCTTCTCTGAGACTATGCATTGAACTGGAGCTCCTGATAGGCAAGGACCACACCTTTTTAAGGTTCTCTGAGTCCTAAGTGCCTAGCACAGTGCCTGGGAACACACATAAGGTGTTTGTTGAACTAGGGGACTTGTTAACTTTCAATTAATTTATTTGATGAGATGTCTGGAGGATCACCAGAAATGAAATGCTTGTGTAATATACAGTCAAGATTGATTTGAAAAGATGTTGGAAATGTCCTCAGAGACAGCATTGTGGGTTGTGCTTCAGAAAGTATTATGGGATTCGCTTTACGATGCATTGGACAGTGACCCCTGGATTGTTGAGTGCCATTTTTATTCCACATACCCATGTCTGAATCCACCTTGTGCCTACTTGTTGCATAACTGGGTTACCCTATCAGGAGACAACTGCGTTCTCATTCCTCATGTTGTACCCCACTCCACAGCAGCTGGACTCCATCATCTTCCGGTCAACTTACAGAAGTCCAGGATAGATAAGGAATCTGAAAGTTTTTCTAGTGCCAGTCACCTCTATGCCTTCTAGCTGTCTCTAACAACCCTACAAGCAGATTCCCAGTTCTTACTCTTCCCAGCTCTCTATTATTAGCCACTCTGCCTTGGGGATTCTCCCCCACTGGCTGGGAGCTACCAAGGGGAAGCTCCTCATACTCTCCTGGCCACCTTGGCTCTGCCTCCCTCTCTGGTCCTCTGTTCCTTTTCTCTAAATTTTGAGGAATTCCTGAGTTCAGACTTTTTCTTTTTAACCTCTCTTTTTATATTCTCCCCATCAGACAGTTTACTCTTTCCCCAATATCAGCTAACATTTCCACATTAGAAATAACTTCTTTATCTATAGCCCTAAATTATGTCCCAAACTCTGGACCTACAGTTTTCTTGAATGCTTTGCATTACCTCATGACTCGAACTGAACCCATTGTCCGTGCTCTAAAACTAGTTCTTGATTTCTTCTTTCCCACACATCCCTTTGGCTCCAATATCATCATGAGAGTCTAGCCTTAAAACCTCAGTCGACCTTGTTGCTTCTCTTTTTCTCTTTATGACTGATCAATTGTCAATTGTTCTGTCAATCATCTTATAATACGTTTCTTTTTCCTGTCCCTTGCTTCCCTTTTCTGACCCTATGTAAGGGTTTTGTTACCAAATATCGAGATCAATATAATGACCCTCCAGTTGAATGTCTGGCTGTCAATTCTACTCACTCCCAATTCTATACTGAAAAACAAAACCAGGTTTAATCTTTTTCAGACACTCCCCTGGTGTTGTCACTCAGTTTTTTAGTGACTATCACTATTTCCCCCATTAGCAGCTCTGCCTGGCACTAAGCCCTTAACATTCTCATCTCTACTTAAACTTCCAGCCAAGTTAATCTGCCCATTGTCCCCTCAACAAGGCTGTGTGTCTTCACCTCTGAGAACCTGCTTCTGAGCCATCAGCAGTGCCCACTAGAATAGCTTCAACTCCAAATCTTACCAGTGTTTCAAAGGCCCAGTACAAATGTTCAAATCCTACCCCTCTGGAAAGTCTCTCTTTCTCTAGTGGACCTCCAGGATTTTTGTAATCACTCCTTTTATAGAAGTTCTTAATAATTTTTTCATTGGTGCAAATTTTAACCTTCTAACTACATTATAATGTCTTTAGGTCCTTTTCTTAGATGAACACTTCTATGAATTTTACATACTAATATAAAGATTTGCAAAAATGGGAAATCATCATTTATTGACTAAAAAATTGAGATTAACTCAAATTTACAGGCTCCATTAAAATGAATAGACTATCATCTTAAGGATGCAGGTAATCTGTCTATGTGACAGAGGGTCTAGAGATCAAACAATTACTCACATGCCTATAAAAACAGAGCACTGGCTCTCAGATCCCCTAAAACCTCAAATGCCTATAGGGACTGGCAAGTATCAAAACTATGTGAATCCAGCTAACACTTTGGGGACCTGGAGCAATCTGTGCATCTTGTCCAAAGAAATCCAAGTTCAATTTTTTTTTTTTTTGAGACAGAGTCTCACTTTGTTGCCCTTGATAGACTGCCATGGCATCATAGCTCACAGCAACCTCAAACTCCTGAGCTCAAGAGTTCTCTTGCCTCAGCCTTCCAAATAGCTAGGACTATAGGCACCTGCCACAATGCTGGGCTGTATTTTGAGATGAGGTCTTGCTCTGGATCAGATTGGTCTTGAACCTATGAGCTCAGGCAATCCAAGTTGCTAGGATTACAAGTGTGAACCACCTCGCTAGCCTTCCAAGTTCAAATTATTTTAAAACATGGCAAATTACAGTTACTGTCTTGGGCGCTTGGCTTCAAAAACAGTGGTTAAATCAGATATTTTAGAATTGGTATGTATCTAGGTCCTTAAGGATAGCTATGGCTCTGCTAGACACTTAAGGAGTGGGAAGAGCCACAGGAGATAAGACTGAGAATGTTCAGCAAAAATAAAGTGTTACACAAAAATGATACTTTATGCTGGCTATTATTGCACAAAAGAATTATTTGCTAGGATTCTTGAGATGTTTCCATGGAGTCTCTATACCTCAGTTGTTCTATAGGCCAGAGAATTCTTGAAAGCATTGGCTGTGTCTTATTCACCTCTGTATAGTAGAGTTTGAATAGTAAATACCAAGGAAAGGTTGAAAGAAATAAAGAAAGAGAGAGAGTGAGAGAAGAAAAAGAAAAGAAGGAAGGAAGGAAGGAAGGAAGGAAGGAAGGAAGGAAGGAAGGAAGGCTGGCTAAGGGAAGGATTAATGGAAAAGGTGGCCCTGAGTGAGTTTTAAAAACTAGGTAGACTTTTTCCAGGAGAGATCTGTGTGGGGTTAGTGAAAGGAGTGGTCATATAGGAATTCATGAGATTTTTAGACTAAAGATTGCCACTTACCCTTGTGATAATGACAAGGAAGGAAGGAGAAATCAAAGCTTCAGCACCACGAATTTCACTTCATCTATTACTTTGTGAAAGAGGTTTCAACAATGGAAATAGCAAGAAACTTTGCTTATAGCAACCAAGAAGTGAAACTGCTAACAACTACTACAATTTTTGATCTTCTTATAAATTTTGCTTAGAAAAGATTTTCTTATTTTCTGCTTACATACCTGTCCTCAGAATTTACAGATGTTGTCTTGATTTCTCTGGAAACATATAACTTCCTAATGCCATTGAATAAATTGATGTAAATACTTCTTATGTAGAATAAACAGAAAAAAACAGGGCACAGTAGCACAGGCCTATAGTCCCAGCTACCTGAAAGGCTATTGAATAAGAGTATTGTTTGTGGCCAGAAGTTCAAGGCTTTACTGAGCTATGATCCATAGTTCCTGTGAATAGCTATTGCATTCCAGCTTCAGCAACAAGCAAGACCCTGTCTCTGTAATTTAAAAAAAAAAAAGGCAGAATAAGAGCTAAAATTTTACTAGGGAAAATGTTAAATATGAGGCAGACAAAAAACATCTTGAGAGGTACAACTATTCTGTAAACTTTTGCTTGGGAGGCTCAGGGAAGGATTTATGGAAAAGATGACCCTGAGTGAAAAACTAGGTAGACTTTTTCCAGGTGAGATGTGTTTGGGTTAGTGAAAGGAGTGGTCATACAGAAATTCATGAGAATTTTAGACTAAAGATGCCACTCACCCTTGCAAGTGATGATGATAATCTGAAGAATGCTTTACTATTGACAAAAT